ACGAAGGCTCCCGTTGAGCGGCCAGAGGTGCAGGGCCCATAATTCGGGCCGAGGATGCCATAATGTCCGTTCGCTTGAGAGAAGAGATCCTGTCTCAGTGGAACAGGCCAAGGGGCCGCTATATATAGCGGAGTTAGCTCCGATAGCCACAGCTGGTTCATCCAAGGGGGGCCACCAGGAGAACCCTGTGTTCTCGTTCCCTCACTCGCCTGATTACCTGTGGGATCAGAGCGATCAGGGAAAAGCATAAAGAAGGAGGTTGGGCCAATAGTGGGCCACTGCGTCCCTGGTTTTTGAGAAATAGATTGAGCAGTGAGAGTTTTCTCTGAGGTGAAGAGGTCCACCTCGGCCTCGCCTAAGATCTCCCAGATCCTCTGAACCGTCTGCGGATGGAGCGTCCACTCCCCCGAGGGGACCTTGCTCCTTGATAACATGTCCGCTCCTTGGTTCAATTTGTCCGGTATATGCTCTGCTCTCAGCGAGCGCGGGTTGAGGACATGGTGCCCTTTTAGGACTGGCAGGAAGAACTGACAGGCTCGACATACTGCTAGTATTTCCAGGCAGTTGGTGTGGAAGCCTTTTTCCGCCTTCGGCCAGTGGCCGAAAGTCGGTATGCCCTCGCACAGCACCCCCCAACCTGAGTTGGAGGCATCTGTTGTGACAACTGTCCTTCTGCAAACCATTCCTATGGCCACGCCCTGTTCCATCTAGCGGGAATTTTTTTCCCCCCCGGGGGCCAGGGCTGTTACACAGGCCTGACGCACCCTGATCTGCAGGCGTCCGTGACGCCACGCATGGGATGGAACCCGTGGTTTCAATCAGCGCTGAAGGGTGCGCATACGAAGCAGACCCAACTGTAGTGCTGGCGATGCCGCCGCCATGAGGCCCAGCATCCTCTGAAACGTTTTGAGGGTGAGTGGTACCCATTGGAAACCTGACTCGCCCTGAGCTGGGTGAACCGTTTCTACGGCTCATATCGCCAGCAAATTCATCCGAGTGCAGGACGTGTGCATCTTTGCTCTAACTGAGGTGGGAACCACACAGTTGAATCGTGGGGTATTCGAGCGAATTGCAGTGAATAACCTCATTTTATTGTCTCCAACACCCGGTTTGGCACTACAGGGATGGCCTGTCAGGCCTCAGCCCGTGTGACAAGGGGTTGGATTAAATTGAGAGGCTGGTCGCCGTATAGGGACCCCACACTCAGAAGAGGAAATTTGCTTTTCCCTGAAAAAATGCTTTCAGAAAATGCTTTGCCAGACTTATTGCTCTCATAGCAGAGCAGTCAGCCCCTGTGCGCGCTGCCTCAGCGTGGGCGTGGCCCAGACGCGTCCAATTTGAAGCTGTCAGTGATAATAATCATTCGTGACAGCGTTCTCTTTTAACCCGCCTAAAAAAGATCAAACCGCTCATTAGAAGAGGAGTTTTTATGATCTTTATGTGTAACACTCAGGCAGATCAAAAATGCTGCGCGCATTCTCTCAAATCCGCTCGTAGCGGATGAGGGGAGGGGAGGCCGTCTTTATTCAAGAAGGCGAGCCGCGAGCAAAGCAGAAAGAGACATGAGCTCTCAATGTAAGAGCAGTCTGTCTCAGCAGCGCAGCCTCAGCGTGGGCATGACCCAGGCGAGAGGCACGTTCAAATACAAAGCTGTCAGCGATATTGAATCATTGGTGACAGCGTTCTGCTCCAAACCGCCCAGGAGGATTAAGCCGCTCGACAATGAGGGGCGCCGATCCCCTCGTGTAAACACACTGGCAGATCAAAGAGCTGCGTGGAGAGTAATGCATGCGGGGGCTTTGCCGGCATTAAATCACTCAAACCTGAATACCCGCGAGTTTGCCATTTCAGCTTCCGAGTAACTGGGAGGAGAGAAACATAAGAGCGGGGGAGGCGGGGCTCAGCGACGCACACACAATGCGAAGCTGTCCGCGTGATCTGCCTGGGAGGATTAAGCTGCTCGTATAATGAGGTGCACCGATCTCATGTGTAACACACACTGTCAGATTAAGCATGCATGTGTGTAGAGGATTTGCTCAAGTCTGATCGTTCAACCCGCGAGCTCATCGTTGCTTCCTCCGAGGTAGCTGGGAGGAGAGAAACATGAGCGCGGGGAGGCGGGGCCTCCTTCCGCGAACGAATGGGGACAGACCGCTTTTGTGATAAAAGCAGCCAGTGTCTGTGAGCGCAACCATAGTGACACACACACAAATTTGAAGCTGTCAGCGGCAGCATCTGCTCCGATCTACTTTGTAGGATAGAGCCGCTCGATGTAAAGAGGGGCACTGATCCTTTTGTGTGAGACACGGATCGAAGCCCAGAGGGGAGAGCGAGGCTCTGCGTGAGATCGCTCAGACCCAGTTGCTTAGTTCCCAGACTTTGTCGTTTCTCTCTCCGAGGCTTGCTGAGAGAGGAGAAACGTGAGAGCAGGGCTGTTCAGTGAAAGGCGGTCCGCAAGTGGAGAAAAGCGAGACTCATGCTCGAGTGAGCATTCTGTTTCAGTAAGCGCGTAGCTCACTGCCCTTCTGCGGCGGATCCGAGTGCAACGGAGAGAGAGCATGCAGGCACAGCGCCGGCATGAGATCAGTCAAACCGATTGCTTATTCCCTGACTCCGCTGTTTCCCTCTCCGAGGCTCGCTGAGAGAGGAGAAACGGGAGAGCTGGGTTGTTTTCCGTGAAGGTGGCCCGCGAGTGGAGAAGAGCTAGACTCATGCTCGAGTGAGCATTCCGTCTCAGTGAGAGAGTAGTCTCTGCGTGGGGTCTGCCCAGACAGATGACGTACTCATTGCTCTTCTGCATTGTGCAAGTTTCCCTGCACGATGCCACACCGCAAGCGC